ATATTTGCACCTAAACTACGCAAAATTCAAAGTGCTGAATGGGAAAAAGGTGAATAAATTAGTGTCTAAATATTATATATATTTTATTAGACATAGACACATAATATAAAGCATCCAAAGTCCTGCATTTTCGCCATTAAGAAGAAAAGAAGTGGCCGAAGAATATAGAAAACACCTTAGCACTGTAACTAAAATGTATCAAAACTAAACCTATTATGTGAACAAATAAAAACCAGTCTGTCAAAAATGGTCTGTTATTGTAAACGTCAAAAAATTTCCAGTATAATTCGCTGTTGGGTACCCCACGAGAAAAAAATTTCCACTAAAATACCTCCGTTGCCATGGTGATCTGTCAAAAACACGTATTTTGATTGGTTCAAAATTACAGGTGTGGAATTTTCTTGTGAATTTTTTCTTTTTTCGTAAACACATTTTTAGATTTTTTGTAGCGTCATTGGGGAGAAGCTCAATTTGAAATTACAATCATTTAAAATCAGAAATTTTATATTCACCTGTATCCATAAGTAGGTATACATAATTTATTCAACATGTGAAAATATCCAATAATAAATATTAAACAAACACTTCTTTTCATGTACATACATATTAATTGAGTGCGATTGATTTTATCAAATCAACGACTTGAATGTCTGTCTCATTTTTTCAGCATTTACGGATTTTAACAGAATACTTTTATGATTTTTTTTTCATTCTATTTAAAAAATACATATTTCAATTTCGTTAACGTTATAAAAGTCAATGGATCTGTGTTTTGTTTTACAGCTTTAGATAATTGGGCAACCCTAAATAAACAAATAATAATGAATAAAAATAGGTATATTAGTCATTTTCAGTTTTTCTTTGGATACAAGAAAATATAATAAATAAAAATGTCTATTTTTTGTAAAAGCTAAGAATGATATTATAAAAGTTATACGATAACTGTGTGTGTCCGTAAGAAAAACTTGATTGGCGAAACTTGAGATTCACACCTGAGGTCTCACAATACCTTTTCGTTTTTCGATTTTCTCATTTTCTCCCGCGGAGGCAGTTGCATCAGATGTCCAGAATAACGAACAGTTGCTGTTGGCAACAATACATGTAATTATTTGTTTTTTAATTCGATTCTCCTGCATAGTTCTACAGGTAATTAGAGCACTTATTAGTTGTTCTGAAAAAGTTTTTATTTAGCAAATTATAATTGAATCGATATCTTGGCTCGAGGAGATATTTTTTTCTACTCCTATACTTAAAATTACTTATTAAATCTCGTTATAGCACAGTTTTCATTATAAAACTGATTTTGACCAATAGTATGGTCACTCTTTTGGTCCAAAGCTGGGCGCTGAACATGAAATACAACATTGATGAACTTTGGAGAGGCGAGGACCTTTTTTTAGGTCTGCACTATAAACTTAATCCAGATCTAAAAAAGGTCATCAGGTTCTATATGTTGTAATGTTGTATTTTTAACTTTGAGGAGCTAAAAAAAGGGGTGTCCAAAGTTCATCAATGTTCATGTTCAGCGTCCAGTATTGGGTTTCAGTAACTGTAAAATTATGTAAAATTATGTAAAATTATGTAAAATTATGTAAAATTATGTAAAATTATGTAAAATTATGTAAAATTATGTAAAATTATGTAAAATTATGTAAAATTATGTAAAATTATGTAAAATTATGTTAAATTATGTAAAATTATGTAAAATTATGTAAAATTATGTAAATTATGTAAAATTATGTAAAATTATGTAAAATTATGTAAAATTATGTAAAATTATGTAAAATTATGTAAAATTATGTAAAATTATGTAAAATTATGTAAAATTATGTAAAATTATGTAAAATTATGTAAAATTATGTAAAATTATGTAAAATTATGTAAAATTATGTAAAATTATGTAAAATTATGTAAAATTATGTAAAATTATGTAAAATTATGTAAAATTATGTAAAATTATGTAAAATTATGTAAAATTATGTAAAATTATGTAAAATTATGTAAAATTATGTAAAATTATGTAAAATTATGTAAAATTATGTAAAATTATGTAAAATTATGTAAAATTATGTAAAATTATGTAAAATTATGTAAAATTATGTAAAATTATGTAAAATTATGTAAAATTATGTAAAATTATGTAAAATTATGTAAAATTATGTAAAATTATGTAAAATTATGTAAAATTATGTAAAATTATGTAAAATTATGTAAAATTATGTAAAATTATGTAAAATTATGTAAAATTATGTAAAATTATGTAAAATTATGTAAAATTATGTAAAATTATGTAAAATTATGTAAAATTATGTAAAATTATGTAAAATTATGTAAAATTATGTAAAATTATGTAAAATTATGTAAAATTATGTAAAATTATGTAAAATTATGTAAAATTATGTAAAATTATGTAAAATTATGTAAAATTATGTAAAATTATGTAAAATTATGTAAAATTATGTAAAATTATGTAAAATTATGTAAAATTATGTAAAATTATGTAAAATTATGTAAAATTATGTAAAATTATGTAAAATTATGTAAAATTATGTAAAATTATGTAAAATTATGTAAAATTATGTAAAATTATGTAAAATTATGTAAAATTATGTAAAATTATGTAAAATTATGTAAAATTATGTAAAATTATGTAAAAATTATGTAAAATTATGTAAAATTATGTAAAATTATGTAAAATTATGTAAAATTATGTAAAATTATGTAAAATTATGTAAAATTATGTAAAATTATGTAAAATTATGTAAAATTATGTAAAATTATGTAAAATTATGTAAAATTATGTAAAATTATGTAAAATTATGTAAAATTATGTAAAATTATGTAAAATTATGTAAAATTATGTAAAATTATGTAAAATTATGTAAAATTATGTAAAATTATGTAAAATTATGTAAAATTATGTAAAATTATGTAAAATTATGTAAAATTATGTAAAATTATGTAAAATTATGTAAAATTATGTAAAATTATGTAAAATTATGTAAAATTATGTAAAATTATGTAAAATTATGTAAAATTATGTAAAATTATGTAAAATTATGTAAAATTATGTAAAATTATGTAAAATTATGTAAAATTATGTAAAATTATGTAAAATTATGTAAAATTATGTAAAATTATGTAAAATTATGTAAAATTATGTAAAATTATGTAAAATTATGTAAAATTATGTAAAATTATGTAAAATTATGTAAAATTATGTAAAATTATGTAAAATTATGTAAAATTATGTAAAATTATGTAAAATTATGTAAAATTATGTAAAATTATGTAAAATTATGTAAAATTATGTAAAATTATGTAAAATTATGTAAAATTATGTAAAATTATGTAAAATTATGTAAAATTATGTAAAATTATGTAAAATTATGTAAAATTATGTAAAATTATGTAAAATTATGTAAAATTATGTAAAATGATGTAAAATTATGTAAAATTATGTAAAATTATGTAAAATTATGTAAAATTATGTAAAATTATGTAAAATTATGTAAAATTATCTAAAATTATGTAGTACATTGCTGGACGCTAGACAATAAAATACTGCGTTTTGTTGGCAAAAAACGGCGTTTTACTGTAAGTTTGATGTACAAGATACAATGCTGAACAGACTTTTACAATACAGCGAAATACTGTACGTATGGCCATCCTAACCAATAGAACTTTCTACTTTTTATTAATTAAGATTTTTTTGATAGATATTATTGACAGTTTTATGAATGCTTCCAAAATACCGAATTTTGGCTCCACTGACAATTATAACCAAACTTTTAACAAAATACGTTTTAAAATTGTATGCAGTGTCAGAACTAGGACGGTAGCAGCGGTGGCCAGACACAGGATGCAGACCCTGAAGAGGCGTAAAAATGGCTCAACGGTGGCTTTTTTAAAGGCGCAGTTATAGAAGCTCGCACCGGGCGTATAAAAAGCTAGTTACGGCACTGATTGGAGTGAGCAAAATGCATGAAACAGACAGGTTAGTTACATAAATTTCAGCTTTTTGAATAGTGACATTAATAGAAAGTGATCGCCCCTTATTATCTTGTTTACACAAAACAAGGGGATAATCGAATAGATGTCAGAAACACACAACGTTCAGGTGAACCTACGTCAAATTATTGAATCTACGCAAAATTATTAACAGTATCGACGAAAAGCATGGCTTTACGCATGATATGCGAAGAAAATAATAGTCTGGACCGGGAATAGTTAGTTCGTCGTAAAAAGGGATCGTTACATCGCAGTTACTGGAGACTCAATTTGACATTTTTTAAATTGTATTCAATGGTACTCACTCCCCACTAACTCTAAAGTCCTTTATTTGAAATTATTTGGGATACAAGCGGAAATATTTTCGATAAGATTCTTTTCCTACGACCACTTAGGAAAGTGACACATATCACACTATATAGTCCTATGAAAAGTTGTCACAAAATGTCAAACACCTAATTCTATTTTGATCTATGTAATGTCCATATTAATACTAAAATCGATATGATTGTTAAATTATTGAAATCGTTGTAAATTAGATCCTAGATAATTATCTTTAACAATTATTATTAAAATAATTTTAAAATAATGTTTACTCTTTATTCTGGTTAAATACATAACCGATTAGATCATTCAATTGACACAAGGGCTATTAGCTCAGGTGGTTAGGACGTCGAACTTATCAACTTTGCCATTTTTCGACCGCGTTCGAATCCTGGCGGGCAGAATTTTTTTTTTTAGTTTTTTTTTTTTTTGTTTAAAAAATATGAAAATTGAATAAATACGATTATTGTTGATTATTTTTTTAAATACATTTTAATTATTATAGTAATAATAACCTTGGTTTTACATTTTTTTATGACATTATTTTGTGGTCGTAGAAAAAATATTGTACATCACTTGTGTGAAAAATGATTTTCCACACTCGTAATGTAATATACTATTTATACCAAAAACCATTTAAATACGTCTTATAGACATTTACTTACCAATCACAGCTACTACTGGATATAGACAATCTCATTTTTTAGCGAAAGTAGGTACAATCGCTTTTTTCAATAAGGTCTTTTTCGAAAAATATCCGGTGAATATTTTGACGTAAACACAAATCATATTCCGAATGCACTAAATGTTGATAACGATATTTATAAAACTAAACAATTAAAAAGTAACGCTTGTTAGTAGAAAGATTAAAGTTCGTTATTTATTTTTATTGGTTATAATAGTTAAGTATCAACTTTTGTAATTATAAATATACAGTATGGTTTCAACGAAAGGAATAAATTAATTATTTCGTAACTCGTCGACTTCGGAAAAACTCCCGTAACCCATCGATTTATGTTTTCAAACGAGCGTTCAGTCAGATATTTATTTTATTCGTGACGTCATACAAATAAGCGTAATTTTTTAAATATAAATGTGGTTCGTGCAATACATCGTTTGAAAGGTTTTTTAATTATCCATTCAACCGTATATTGAAGAGAAACAGTGATGCTTGTAATCGCTGGTTTTTGAATTACACTTTGCTTTGCGTGCTTAGTTGCCTAACTAACTCAAGAAAACAACTAACTCTAAAAGAAGGTTTATGCAAAATTTTCTGGGAAGGCTGGTACCGACCCTGTTCTTTTGTTGACCTTGCCGCTGCCGATACGTCTGACGAGCGAGAATCGACTAGAATGTTATTTCTGTACGCAGTCCGACGCATAGAAGAAGGATTCCGAGAACTTCTAGACTAGCATCGAGCATTCTAGTCAGGATTTGATTATTTCTAGGCT